CCATGATTGGTTGGAACATTTCAGTTTTTTATTTTACTTTTTGTAAGGCTCTGAAACAGGCACTATTCTGAAATATTCTAAAAAGGTCTTTATAATAATCAGAGATCCTTGCAGATTTAGCTAGACATACAGTGTATTTGGTGACCACTGAACCATTTGTTAACTAGTGCGGTCCTAGAGAAGTTTATTAAGAAATAACGAGGAATTGACTTATTTTTATTTTGATACAATGGAGGTGATTATTACAGTCAATGAGGTAAGAATTCTTGATGTTGTTGGAATGGAGAATCATGAGTAAATGTTGTTTATCTTTTATCAGTTAACTTGATTGCAACCAAACCATTTTAAGTTGTCAGTTAGAACTGCTTCCCTAAGTTCCGAAGTCTACCAAGGATTTACACAAATTTTTCCAAACATTCTGGAGAAAAGTGTAAAGAAACACTGAATGTATTCTACAGATTTGAATTTAAAAAATACTGCAGGCCATCAAAATACATGGGGGATTCTCTAAAGTAGGGGGAAAATCCTTTAATTGTGAAATCCTTTGTTTGTAATATTTAATAAATCATATTTTCTTAAGGCCGTAGTAGTAGCAAGTATGATAGATATTGTAAGAAATAGACAACTTTTTTGAGAGACATGTTTCGGCATGCTTATCCCATCTTCAATCAACGAGTAACACAATGTGAGTAATTATATAACAGACAAGTAGATGAATAAAATATTTACAGTATGATGTAATACAAAAGCGGGTACTAATTACAACGTGACACCAAGCATCAAAGATGTGAACTAAAATGCTAGAAAAGTGTTATAATGCTGTAATTGTTTGTTAAGTTCAAGTTCATGTACTCGTCTGTTATATAATTACTCATGTTCTGTTACTCATTGATTGAAGATGGCATAAGCATGCCGAAACATGTCTCTCAGAAAAGTTGTCTATTTCTTACAAAATGATATTTTCTCGTGAGAATGACATGTTCATGGCAAATTGTGCCTTGCAGGGATTTAACCATCAACATAATTATATTGAGCAACGTAAAAAGATGTTCTCTCCACTTCACGAACATCCCTTGGAGCAAGTTAATCCTTTGGAAGTGTACCAATTATATAGAGGACGGTGGAAGTGCGACCATTGCAATTCTGAAAGTGGTGCAATAGGTACGTATCCCTTCCATTGTAGACAGTGTTCTTTTGACCTGTGCTATTCTTGTATGCACATGCAACATCTGGGAAGCAACTTGATTCATCGGCATCAGCTGCATTACATGGAAACCAGCCGTCTGGTTTATCAAAATGAAGGAGGAATTTGGCGGTGTGATGTTTGCAAAAAGACAAGTGATGAATTGAGAGAAACATTCTCATACCACTGCCCAACCTGCGGTGACTTTGATGTTTGTCGTAGCTGTAACGAGCCCAAGAGGCACCCTATCCATGTTCACGAACTTAAAGTGGTTGACACATCACTAATCTATCTTCAGTCTGGTGGGAACTGGGTTTGTGACATCTGTGGGAATATGAGCAGGCCATATGAAAAGTAAGTGAAACATTCAGATTATTTTGATATCCCATATCTAGTGTTTCTACCTCAGAATGAAAAGGAGGAAGGGTGTCGCATTGATCTTTTGAGTAATGAGAATAGAATAGAATAGAATCTTTATTTATACGCGATAAGAATTAAAGCTAAAAAGCTTGTGGGGTCGTTTACTTAACAAAATAGTATCTAGCCAACTATTCATTGTACTAAGACACATTTCAAACTAAGTAAGAAACTATAATACAGTAAAACATTCAATTTTCCTCTCAACTTAAAAATACTTGTTATCAGTTATCTATTCCTAGCCGTCAAACCTGATAAACTAGTAAATGTGAAGCTTGTGAAGTGATTATTTCTCCTGAGTAGCCTCCTAAGATTCTTAAGGGCGAAGCTACCTACATTTTTGACATGATGGTTAACTTAGTTCCATAGTACCTAACCTCTATATGCTAAAGAGTCCTTTAACAATCTAGTGTTGAATCTAGGTAATATGTTTATTGCTTCTTGGTCTCTTAGTAAATAGCTACATTCCTGCCTTATGAATATGCTATTAATCAGAGACTGAGGTTGTGAGACTTTACTTGCTCTATAAAAAAGGTTAACTTTTTGAAATATGTATTCTAAATTTATCATATCCTATCCTGAAACATTGAGAGCTACATTAGATTCCGTATCTTTGGATAAGTTGTAGACAATTTTTGCTGCTCTACAGTGAAGTTTCTCAATTGAGTACAGAAGATCCGAATTTGTACACGAACCCCATAATATAATACCATACTTCACAGAAGGTAATATTACACTAAAATAAAACTTTAAAAGGACATTTTTGGGCAAGAACCTTGAGCGCTTCAATAAGNATCATTTTTAAATGAATCCGGTAGGACTTTTTCATTAGCAATAAAGTTGTAAAAGACGAAACCTACATCTTTTTATTTGTACAAAACCATCACAACTGGATGCCAATAGAATTTCAATTTAAGACACGACTTACTATCCGTGATGTCCTAATTATAGAACATCTGTCATAAGCCGATATTCTCAAAGTTTATATCTAAAGCAAATAAACGCCTTAAAATCGCTTGTTTCGTGAAATTAACACTTCAATTTATTAATCGTTTTCCATGGTAAGTTATTATTCGATCACGTGTATTTTACTTCACGTGAAAATCCATTTATGAATTTGGATATTCTCAAAGTTAATATCTACAGCAAGTCTACGCCGCAAAGTCGCTTGTTTCGCGAAATTATAACTTTAATTCATATTTGGTTTTCCATGGTAAGTTAACATTTGATCACGTGTATTTTACTTCACGTGAATATCTATTTATAAATTTGGCTTTCGAATGAAGTAATGTTTTCTCTTGTGAATTTTGGGTCCACACGGAGAAGGAACTTAAAGTCAACGATTTTTTTTTTCAACATAAGCAATTCGCTGGACCTATGTCATGGATTAAACTCTACTGAGATCTCTTTTAGGTATTTGGGATTCATGACATTCGGACTAAAGAAGTACAAGCAAGCGAAATCCAAAGAGGACTGAGTTCCACAACAGCGACTGCTTCCTTACCCCTCCCCACAGAGTGGCCTTGCCTAGGCAAAACATTATGGCGGAAAATTTAGTCGACGATTTTAAAGTTCTTCACATAAACGCTCTGGAAGACAACGATTATTCTCAGTGGATGGAAAATTTACCAAATGAAAAACAACTGTTTCCATTGAAAGATTTAGTGATCCCAGGGTCCCACGATTCGGGCACATTTTTTCTCGATCAAAATATGGAGATTGGTCCAGACGAATCATCTGCCATTCAAACGCTCGGCCATTATTTGTTCTGCAGTGTCTGGGGGTTTTTGAAACACTGTTGACGCTTGAACAGGCAAAGCGTGGTACTGTGAAAACATCAGAGAGTATTCCTTGCTAAAATAAGCTCAATTTCCGTGTCACATCCACTAATCTTCAACAGTTTTTTATGTGGCATGTAATATTCTTGTTACAAGATACGAAGGGGAGTCCCTGACAAGATTGATTTACCGATCTTGGATCAGGTCCACATTCTCCCGACCATCGATGAAGTCATGCTTGAGAAAGGTTTATTGTTTAATGACGCAATGTTATGAGACAATTTTCTGAAAAGTTCTCAAGGAAAATTGAAATTGACAGCTTCAGAATTCACACTTCACAGTGTCACGCAAGCAGACGAAAAGAACTGTCAGA